TCGGCCCAGAGAGGCCGTCAAGACAGCTTCCGACGGCGTCACCAAGACGGCCCAGATGGCCTTAAGATGGCCCAAGACGGCCCAGGAGGCCTCCAAGAAGGCCTCCAGGAAGGCCCGAAGAGGCCAACATCATTGATTTTCCTCAGGTTTTTGAAGGATTTGGGCATTTGCTTCTTTTCGGCCTTCCGATGGCCTGATACGACCCGAGAGCCCCCCAAGATCGTTTCTAGATCGCCCAAGAGGCCTCCAGGATGGCTGCAGAACGGCCCAAGAGGCCCCCAGGACGGCCCCCAAAGGGCCCCAAGCAGCCCAAGAGGTTTCCAAGACGCCCAAGATGGCTTCAAAGACGGCCCTGGAGCACCCCAAGGGGGCTCCAAGTCGGCGTCAGACGGGCCCAGAGCCCACTAAGAGGGCTCCAGATGGCCTTAAGATGGCCCAAGACGGCCCAGGAGGCCTCCAAGAGGGCCTCCAGGAAGGCCCGAAGAGGCCAACATCATTAATTGTCCTTCCAAGAGGCCCCTAAGAGGGCCCCAAGACGGCCTCAAGAGAGCTTCAAGCAGCACAGAGAGCTCCAAGACGGCCCAAGAGAGTCCCCAGGGAGCCCCGGGAGGGCCACCGGAGGATCCCTACACGGTCGGAGAGGGCCCCAGGACGGCCTCACACACCATGACGGGCCAAGAGGGACCCGGGACGGCCGAACAGGGCCCACAGACGGGCCAAAAAAGGCCCTAAAGGATTCCCAAGGAAGGCCCGAAGAGGCCCCAGAAATTCCCACGATGCTTCCAAACGGCTCCCAGGAGGCGTCCCAGTAGGCCCCCATAAGTTTATGGGAGGTCTCGCGTCTACGTCCTGCAAGATGCATCTCAGGGCTTCCAGAGGCCCCACAGAAACATGCTGCGGGGCGCCGGGAAGCAACCAAGACACCCCGAACTCACGGTCGAGGTCAGGGGTGTACCACTATGGGCGGGAGGGCGGCATACGAACATTGGTTTTGGGATTGTTTGTGGAGCTCCCAGTGGACACGATCCGCGTGAGAAACCCAGTCGCCCTAGGGGGAGGTGATGTTACGCGAATCCTCCCACAACGGGGCACCTGAAACCGCGTCCTTCTGGCGCAAAAATCCGTTTGATGGGTGCGCTGGGATGGGCGGAGGAATGCCGTCGTGGCCGTGGGTCTCATTGCTTCCCTCGGGATTTCCTGGGCGTCTCCTCTCTGTCCTCTCGCCGTGGTAGTCGTGACAGTCGTCGCAAATGTCGTCGCCGTCGTCCTCCTCCTCCTCCTCCTCCTCCTCCTCCTCCTCGTAGTTGCGGCGCCGTGGTCGTCGCCGCCGCTGCTCCCGTCGTCTGCCGCACTCCTGCCCACGATGCCGGGGGGGGCCCGGGGCCAGGGGCTCGGCGGCGCATGGGGTGCTCAGGGGCCCCAGGGGTGCCCGAGAGTCAGAGCCCCGAATCATCAGTGGTAACTCGGGTCAGGGATAACTCGGGTTCGTTTTTTCGGGAATCCGAACCCGAGTTACCCCGGACCCGAGTTACCCCGGATAACTCGGGCGTCCAGAGCCCCGAATCATCAGGGGTAACTCGGGTCAGGGATACCTCGGGTTCGTTTTTTCGGGAACCCAAACCCGAGTTACCCCGGACCCGAGTTACCCCGGATAATTCGGGTGCCCGAGAGGCGACTCGAGGCGCTCGGGGCGCCTCTGGGGCGCCAGGAAGTCACTCCCAGCGATAACAACGATAACAACGATCACAACGATCACAACGATAACAACGACAACGATAACAACGATAACAACGATAACGATAACAACGAAAACAACGATAACGATAACAACGATAACGATAACAACGATAACAACGATAACGATAACAACGAGAACGGTCACAACGATCACAACTCCCAGCGGGTTTGGATGTGTTTGAGGTCTTCCGCCTTTTTGGCCTCCCGACGCTCCGACCTCCAACCCAGCCCCCGCAGCACCACCACCCGCTTCGCGACGTTTTCAGGAACTCCCCCCAGGCGCGCCCAGAGCATTCGAGAGGCCCCAAAGCCGCCCCAAGACGCTTCCAGGACCGCCCCAAGGGGCACCGGGCTGCTCCCGAGTCGCCGGAGAATCACTCCCAGACGACCGCATGACAGCAAAAATCCCAAAGGAAGCCACAGACTGTTGCCCCTCGGGGCACTCGTCTGGGACATTGGGAGCCCACTAAAGCCTTCCCGGGGCCGGCCTGGCGCAGGCTGGAAGCCTTCGGAGGCCGTTCGCAAGACATATTCGGCGCTCTCGGGGTGAGATGGACAGAGTTGGTAGATTGTCGTACCAATTTGTGTGCCATGTGTGCGTCCACGGGCCCGCTTTGGCGGCCACGAGGGCGCCCCTGGGGTCATTGGGGCGCATGCGTACCCGGGACCGTGATCTTGGGCTCCCCCATGGGCACCCAGGGAAGCTCAAGATGGCCGAGTCCAATTGAACACACTAATGTTCAACGCCCCCGAAAGCCCCAAGAGAGGCCCAGTACGGCTCAAAGATAAAGACGTCCCGCGACGCTTCTCCGACGGCCCGAGGAAGGCCGAAGCGGAGCTTAGGAAGCGCAGTTTGTCCCGAGAGGCTCCAAACACGCCACAACCTTCCAAAATATTGCCCTGCACTTCCTCCTCCTTTCCTTCATGGCGTTTAGAACAGGTTGTACACATGTTAAACACATCTTGAATTCAATGATAGGATTGTTAGAGTGTCCATTGTCATGGCATCCACAACTCCAGGGTGATTTCCATCTGCGGCGCTCCCGAGACTGGGGGGGCGAGCCGTGAGAAGAGGCGCCCCAAGTTCAGATTCGATGTGGGAAATGACGACTTAGGGAGGGGAGGAGGGAGGAGGGAGGAGGGAGGAGTGAGGAGGGAGGAGGGAGGAGGGAGGAGGGAGAGGGAGAGGGAGGAGGAGGTGGAGTGGACGATTACCCCGCTTGTCCCCCAGAGTCTTTTTTGCAGTGGAGGGGGCCAGAGAAAAAACACCCTGGAACCGATCCGGGGTGATTCAAAGCTGGTGCGCTCTTCCGAGGTTGGGCTGGGGGCTGAGCTGCGCGGAGAGGCCCGACTTGGGAAACGACGAGTTGGGAGGTTCGCGTGCACACCCTCGTCGATGCCCGACTCCCCCGCTCATGCCCGAAAGTGCCTTGTCGCACAGGGGGGAGGGCAGATGGAAAAACACCTTGGAACCGTTCTGGGGTGATTTCCTTCCGGGGCGCTCCCGAGATTGGGTTGGGGACCGAGCCGCGAGAAAAGGCGCTCCAATAAGAGATTCGATGTGGAACATGACGATTTGGGAGGTTCGGGTACACCCCCAGGCTTAGCCCCGAGAGCGCCTTTTACACTCGGGGGGGGCCAGATGGAAAGACACCCTGGAACCGTTCCTGGGTGATTTCCATCTGGGGCGCTCTCGAGACTAGGGCTGGGGGCCGAGCTGAGCGAAAAGGCTCCCCAACAAGATGTTCTATTTGGACAATGACGGACGATTTGGGGAGCTCAGATACCCCCCCCCCCAGTTATGCCCGAGAGCACCTTTTTGCATTGGGGGGGGCCGGATGGAGAAATACCCTGGAGCCGTTCTGGGGTGATTTCCATTTGGGGCGCTCCCTCAAGCATCAGGCGTTTTCGGGGATAAGCGTGGGGCGTGACCTGAGGGAAAACACTTAATTTTCCGACTGGATTCTCCGATTGGGGAGCCTTCTCTTTTGTTAGACCTTCCAGCTGGATCCCAAATGAGGAGGGCCATATGGAAAATCACCTTGGAACAGCAGCCCATAGGTTCCTGAGGGCAGCCCAGATGGAACATCACCCGAGGTTCCAACTATCTCAGCGGAACGGTGTCAGGGTGATTCTGGAACCTGCATCTTGTACTATTTTGAAGGCCTCGTGCAGCCCTCTGGGCCCGTCTTGGGGTCGTCTTGGGCATGATTCGGGAAGCCGCGGGGGGGGGGCCTCTTCGGGCGGAAAGATCGGATTCTCGGTTCGTGTTCCCCCTCTTCGCCTCTTTTGGGGCCCTCTTGGGGCGATCTTTGGCCGTCTTGGGTCGTCCTGGGGCCCTCGTAGGGGTCTCTTGGGCAGTTGTCGAGTGGGCTTCGGGGCCTCTTTGGCCGTCTTGGAGCATCGGAAGCTCGAGGCGACGATAAGATCACAAACAATTCCAAACAACCTGGGCCTTCTTGGGAAGGCTCTTGGGGCGTCTCGAAGTCGTCGTGGGGCGTCTTGGAGCCATCGTAGGCGTCCTCGGCCAAACATTGCGCGATTCGGAACCGTCTTGGAACGTCTTTGAGGCCACGGAATGCAGATTTGGAAGCTTCGGAGTCTACGGGGGTGCGCCGGGGAGCCCGGATACCCCCCCCCCATTACACGTGATGTTGGGCCATGGGGGAGGGGAGAAGGCGGAGAGAGACAGCCATTCATCTCACACGCTTTCTCACCCCTGGCAAGCGGTGGTCGGCGTGTATTTATATATATATATATATATATATATGTATACACACATGTATGCATGTATGCATGCATGTGTGTATGTATTTGTGTATGTGTGTACGTACGTATATATGCATGTATATATATATATATATATATATACGTATGTTGTCGTGTTTATGTATACATCTATAGATGCGTGCTTGTATGTATATATATATATATATGTATGAGTATGGATGTATGTAAATGTGCATGTGCATGCACATATGCATGTATATGTACATGTATATGTAGATGCATGCGTATGTGTTTGTGTATATATAGTTATAATTATGCCTATCCAGTGGCGCTGCCGCTCGATTCCGCCACCGCGTTCGGGCGGGCGCCCGATGGGGGGTATGTGTATATAAACATGCATATGGACACGCACAAATATGCACGCAGTCAGTATGTACATATAGGTCGTGTTCATTGCGTTGTCGGTGGAATCGCCCTCTGAGCCACAAATAAATTCCCATCATGCTCGTACATGACTTTATTGCCCATTCAAGGCCCTGCCGCAGCAGAAGCGCACCGATGTCACGTACAGTGAGATGCTCAGGTTGCGCAATTTTCTTCGAGGGGATAGAACAGTCGTTGGAGCGATGAAGCACATGTGGAGGTCATGAATCGTCGTGATGATGAGGCGAAGCTCGGGGCTCAGTTCCCCCGCAGTATCGCGAGTTGGAGCCCACAGTCAAAGGTCGTCGAGTGCACACATAATCAGAATCGAGTTCGGGTTGCTGTGTGAAAGCTCCTACTGCTGCTCCTATTTTTCTCCTTGCCATCGCTTCTCTTTTCAAGAGGCTGGCACTGCCCCGCCGATCCCCACAAGAGAATGTGTGCGGCTTCCGATTTCGTAAGTGTTGTTTGCCGCTTTCCGTCTTGCTTCTTGCATGTAGTTGTTGCTAAGCTGCCCTCCTGTTCCCCCACGTTTGTCACGAGGCCTCTTGGGGGGCTCTTGGAGGCCTCGTTGGGCCGCCCTCGTGCGAGCCTGTTCAGGGCAGCAAAATACAGATGCTTCTTTCTCTCTATCTCATGTTCCTTTTCCGCTGAGTGAGTTGTTCATGTTGGGTTTGCTATTGTTTTTTCGTCTGTTCTCTCTCTCTCTCTCACTCTCTCTCTGTCTCTCACTGTCTCTCTCTCTCTCTCACTCTCTCTCTCACTCTCTCTCTCTCTATGACTGTTTTTCTCTCTGCGCGTACCTCGCTTTCTCTCTCTCTCTCTCGCTCCCTCGCTCCCCCTCTCTCTCTTCATCCCTCTATGAATGCGTTTATGTTTTTGTTATTTGTTCTCTCTCTCTCTCTTTCTCTGTCTCCCCCTGTCTCCTGTCTCTCTCTCTCTCTCTCTCCCTTGCGGCCAAAAAAGCACGAACCGGCCCGATCTGGTATACGAGCCAGCGCCGACAGAGAAGAGTGTTCCCAGGGTGGACGAAGGAGGAAGGGGAAGAGGCGGGAGAAACAGGGCGACCTGCTTCGCCGCGGTGCCCGACGGGCGCGGAGGGTCATGCCGCGTGGAACCCTGCGGTTGCAGCGGTTGCCCGGTCTCCTTCCCAGCCGTCTGCCCCATGGGCCACCTCGTCGTGCAGGTCTCGGTCCTCCACAGCCTTGCATTTTCCATCGTTCTTCTCGTCATCGTCGTCCCCAGTGCTGCCGTTGCCTTTGCTTCTTTTGCTGGTGCTGTTCCCCCTTCATAGTTTCTCTTCGTCGCCTGTTTATTCTTCCCCGACCATGCTCGTCGCCCTACTCGTTCTCCTCTGCAGAGCACCTGCGTACCCGCATACATTCACGGCGACGCCCTCCTGAATTTGAGCACCACGTTTGGGCTGGTCTGCTTGGTTGTGATAGAAGTGGCACGTATGGCCGCAGGGAGAACAGTGCAGGTTGTCCGAGTCACGGGCGCTGCAGGGGCTCTGCTGGCGGTCGGTAAGTTTTGCCAGTCTTCCACGGGCAGCTGCGGGGAGGGCCGACACGTGCGCCCGCGGGGTAGCGCAATGTTTCGGCAAAGCACATCGGCCACCACCATTCGTAGTGTGTCCCTGGTGGCAAAAGAGCGCTCTCAGAGCGTATGGTCGTGGCGGCGGCTGGCACCATGCTCTGGAACTGCTCGGTTCGATGGCGAACGCCCAGGTGCGATGCAGCATCTTTGCTGCCTTAGGGAGATGGGGAAGGCAGGAGGAGGAGAAGGACACGGAGGGTAGAAAGGGGGAGGAGGAGGTGGATGAGGAGGAGGACAAGGAGGAAGAAGCAGAAGAAAAAAAAGACAAGGAAGAGGAAAAGGAGGAAGAATGGGCGGCGTCAACCCGCTTGTGTTTCGCAATTTGGCCATGCACCTTCAGTTTGTGGCCCCGAAGACGTCCGGTGGGTGTCTGGGGCCGCTTGGGGCTCTTGCGAAGCCGTCTGGCCATCCTCATGATCGCGTTGGGTTCTCTGGCTTGGCCTCGCAGAGACGTCCAGTAGGCTCACTAGTTTAAGAGGGCCCTCTACAAGGGTGTCCAGGCAGTCTCTGGGCCAAAGAACTATGGGGGTCTGGCCTGGGGGCGTGTGGGGGGGCTCACCCTCAGCGCTTGTAGATATATTAGAGTCGGAATTGGTACATATGTAAGCATGGGCTCGGTTTAGACCCTGGACACTGTTTCCTTGCCCTCTGGATGTGCCAATTAGCACGTGTGGCAAGCCATGTTGCCTCAGCTAAGCTCTGAGACGTATCTGGTGCAAGCTGTGTGGTGCAAGTTGCAGGGTGCAAGACACGTGGGGCAAGCTGCGCGGTGCACGCTGCGTGGTGCAAGCTGCGTGGTGTAAGCGATGCGGTGCAGGCTGCGTAGGTGTCAGCCATGTGATGCACAGGCCGCGGGGCGGCCACGACGGGCCACGCGGCGACATCCGGGCAGAACCCACCCAGCGCGCGGAGCGGCCACGAGGTGGCCGCCAACCGAAACCTCAGCAGACCCCTTCAGTAGTTGTAAGTCGGGCCTGTCTCTCTACAGAGGGAAAACTCCAAAACAGTCAAAACATAGTCTGCGGACGATTCTGTTGACCTCTTTTGAGTATCTTAGGGTGCTGTTTGACTATCTTTTGTTGTCCGTCCAAAATTAGCCTGCAGGGGGGGGGGCAGGCCAGACTTAACAGTAGTTAGGTCAGCCAAGTTCGAAGAAGAAATAACGCCACAGACAAAAAGTTTGGGTGCTCCGCGCAGAGTTATTAGATCCGCGCTGGGCCCCCCCCCGGCGGCGCCTCCGGCGCCGCCCCTGGGTGTCCAGGGCAGATCCACGAAATCCGCGCGGAGCGCCAAACGTTTCTGTTTATGGCGTGCTTCTTCTTCCGTAAGCGCAAGCACTGTGTGTGTGTGTGTGGGGGGGGGAACATGTGTGCAGGCCCCCCAAGGCAGTGCTTGCAGCGAGGGGCGTGGTTGGATGGGTGTGCCAGGGCTGCGCCACGTTGCCTCCAGGCGCCTCGTGGGGTTGCCCCGCCCGTGGGCGCCTCGTGGGCGCCCCGCGAGCTGGGCGGGTGTGCCCATTTTGCCGCCCGTGGACTCCTCGCGGGCGCCCCTGGCGTTGAGTGGGTGTGCCCGCGGACGCCTCGCGTGCGCCGTGTGACGCTCTGTGTGGGGGTGGGCAAAGGTGCGGGCCGAGGTTCGCGCGGCTGCCGCCTCGAGGGCGCCCCCGTGCGCTGGGTGCCGAGGTTCGCGCGGCTGCCGCCTGTGGGCGCCTCGTGGGCGCCTCGAGCGCCGGGTTTGCCGCGCAGCCTGCACCACAGGGCCCACACCACATAAACTGCACCACGCAGCCTGCATTGCAGAGCTCGTGCCACGCGGCTTCCACCACAAACAGCTTGCACCTCACAGTCTGCACCGCACGGCTCACGCAACGTAATTAGCTTACACCTCATTGTTTACACCACGTATATTGCATCGCAGAGCTTGCACCACATCCAGTGCATCACGTAGCCGGCACCACATATCTGTGACATCACGCCGCTTTCGCCACCCAGCTTACACCACATAGCTTACACCAAAGCCTCCACAGCCCATACTGGACCGCATAGCTCACACATCCACAGTGGTATAACGTTACGCCTGGGGTCCACGCGTCCACGCACGCAAAAATTATATGTGTGTCCATCCATGTGTTCGTGGCATCCGGCCCATCCCGCCACTGTGCCTGGGTTGTGGGCCAGAGACTCCGTGGCTGCCTCTTCGTGTCTCTTGAGACGTCTCTTAGGGGCCTTTCGGAGGCCTGTTTAGGGGGCTCTTAAGGCCTACTCGGTGTCGACTGGGCGCTTCTGGAGGGAAACGGCTCCCACTGCCCCTTCGCATTCCTTCGCTTGGGCCCCTCTTGGGGCGCCTTTGGAGGCCCACTGGGCCGTACTGTGGTACTTCTGGGCCGTGTTGGCCCTCTTGGCGGTGTCTGAGGCCGTTTTTACGGCATCTTGGGTTCTCTTGGGGTATCGAATCGTTTTGGCATCTTGTTGCTATCTCGGGGCGTCGCAAGGGCTTCACGGGCCGCCGTGAAGCCGTCCCGCTGCGCTGCTGGGCCGTCTCGGGTGTTGGGGCGCTCTGAGTCTGTCTTGGGCCCGTGTCACTTCGGAGGAGGGTCGTGCGGACCCCCTAGAAGTCACGCGAGAAGGCTGAGGATCTCGCAATTGAGGGTCTGGGCCTGCTGAAGAATCTAGAGTACCCACCCACATCAGAGAACCCGAAGGGACATGAGGAGGCTCCACTCAGTGCCCAAGGCACGGTGGCGGATACACGCACCTACAAACACACACCTTGCGACATCATGGACAGGCATCATACCGTCTAGCACCGTCACTGACATTCTGCTGAGAGTGGCGGCGTGCGTGCGCATGGTGTTGATGAGTGTGCGGTTGTAGATCATTGGTTTGGTGAGGATGACTTTGCTTACAAGTTCCACCTGCGATCGTAGCAGCGCGCCGCGTTGATTGGCCTCCCTCTGGCCGCTATCGCTGAATGGACGTGCATGTTCGCCGTTGATGGCAATGTCGGTGTCGTCGCCGAACCAGTTGCCAATGCGTGCGTCGAAGCTATTTACCATTACGTTCGTTTGCTTATCGTGAGTCTTCTGTTTCGATGTGCTTTCGTACGTTGTACATGCGCTGCGCAGTCTGGTCGTCGCCTCCCCCCACGCTGGTAGTATGCTGCAACGGTCTGGAATTGGCCCTGCAGTAAGTCCCTACATCGATATGCAGGCCAGCCGTTCGGTCACGGCCGAGAAGTTCCTGGCGTGGCCTCCGCGTCGTCTGCTCGCCAGAACGGCAATACTTCAGCAGGCAGGAGACGCATGGTTTTGAATGTGGCGTGCCTCACCATTTCTGACCATGCTCTATCACTATCTTTTCAGTGGACTTGCTCACGTCGTGCTGGGGCGTTTCTGGCCCAGGTCGAGGTGGACGGAGCGAGGTACATCGTAGCGAACGGGGCTTGCAGTAGGAGCGCCAACCTTCTTTTTTGATGCGGCCAGCCGTGGGTGAGGAGGAGCAGGAGCAGGAGAAGGAGCGGAGGGATGAGGTACGAAGCAATGGGGGGCGGTGGGGCACGAGGTGAGAGATCACGGAGGAGGGGGGAGCAGGGAGGAGCTAGAGGAGCAGGATGTTCTTGCGCGCACAGCGCTTTTTGTTCAGTCCGTGTCGGGCGGCCAGCACGAGGGCTGCGGAAAGGATGAGTCACGCGAACTCCCGCGGGAGGGGCCCACCTCGAGCAGCACGAGTGCGCAGGCGCCCTGCGGCAAGCCTGGCCAGCAGCAGCAGCAGGCAGAGTAGCGCAACAAGTAAGACGGCGTGGCGTACATCAGGAGGGACAACAAACACACAGACACAATTGATCGTCGATTTCCCAGAAAATGTAGGAAATTATGGGAAGTGGGGGGGAAGACAAAAACCCAGAAACTATAGGAAGTTCTAGGGGAATCCGGTTATTTGTGTGGATTGCTTTGTGTGTCCCAGGGCCCCTTCAATACAGCACAGCCCGAAACCATCGAGTGAAACCTTCGCGTGCAAGCCATAATTAGCTCCGCACAGCGACCGCAGATGAACCCCTTCACCCAATACCGACGATGCCCATGAGCCCAACATTGCAACATCAGAGGAACACACATATCGAGAAGTATGGCACCTCATAACAGGAAGATATGAGTTACACGTGCCCCACACACTTGAATGTTCTGGTCATTTGCAAAGGTGAGTAACGAATCATTTCGCGCCCCGCCACCACAGCCACAAGCCGACGCGCCGCAAGACCCGCAGGTATACCACGGGCACGCGGCTGAGCTTGACATTCAGGAGACACACCACGACCATTTTGAGGGCTGCTGCGCCTAGCGATACCACAGACACATTCGCCACCGAGGGACACATTGCTTTGCTCGTGGGACTTCCAAACGCCATATAAAACGTGTTGGTACAAGTACGATTGGACTTCTAGCAACCGTCCAAGCTGTTCGGCTCGAGGTAACATGAGTCGGCCCACCCGAGCACTTACCAGCAGGAAGAGGATACCCGCGACAACGCTCAAGTATGCACACAAAGGGGTACAGCCCTGGGGGCATCTGTGGCGAGCAGGTGGCGTGCACCAGAGCTGGCTTGACCCGAGGAGGAGCAGGTTGAAGCGAAGGCGAAGGAAGGGGGAGGGCCTCGTCAGCGGGTGCGCAGCGCGGCCAGCTTCGGGTGTTCATCGAGTGGCTGTCAGCCCTGGCAGTGGCGAAGCATCCAAACCAGAAGTACAAGCTGGGAGGTCAGAGCGTGCGTTGATTAAGATCGCGCATTGGTTACTGGCCTCCGCTCGCGTGAACGCAAGTCTAGTCGTGCAGACATCATCGCAATAATCTCTTCCGTCTGGAGCAGGCTACCCATGTTCTTCTATTATTTATGTCCTAGGTTTCCCCTGTCTCTCTGTCCCTGGCCGTGACCATGTTCAGATGGCGCGGCCGTGGTACCCTCAGTGTGTCTGCACCTTTCTGAGGCCAGCGTGCTCCGTACCGTGGCTCGCTGTTTTTGCCCACTCTTTCTCTCTCTCTCTCTCTCTCTCCCTATCTCCCTCCCTCTCGCTCTCTCTCTCTCTCTCTCTCTCTACATATATATATATATACATATATATATTGATACATATTCATAATTATATATATAATTATCCCTCCCTCTCGCTCTCTCTCTCTGTCTCTTGGTGCGCTCTTCCCAGAGGGCTCGAGTTTGGGGCCAGCGCAGCGTAGGGGTCGGCGGGGCGGCTGCACGTGCTCCCTGCGCAGTCCCAGCCCAAGGGCAGCTGGCGAAGCGCCGGGCCCCCAACCGCGGCCCCTCCTGCGCCTCGTCCTCGTCGTCCTCCTGCTCCTCCTCCTCCTCCTCCTCCTCCTCCTCCTCCTCCTCCTCCTCCTCCTCCTCCTCCTCTTCCTCCTCTTCCTCCTGCGCCTCGTCCTCGTCGTCCTCCTGCGCCTCCTCCTGCGCCTCCTCCTCTTCCTCCTCTTCCTCCCCCTCCTGCGCCTCGTCCTCGTCGTCCTGCTCCTCCTCCTCTTCCTCCTCCTCCTCCTCTAGGAGGGCGCCAAGCGGCGCGCGCCAGGGCTCGAGGCCCCGATTCTGGTGGGGGGAAGCGGCGATTCCGGTCTTTTTGCAGACTCCTGGGGGGGGGGGCCCTGGATGTTCGGGCCAGGACCTTCTGGGAGATGTTACCAGATGGTTCGAATCTTCTGACAAGGGCCCAGCGCAGACCCCATGACATCGCGGATCCCAAGTTTTCGGGCCGCTCTGCAGGATGTCATATCCAGCCAGCGCCGCTCCAGGCGGCGTGGGGCCACGGGATCTACCAGAGGTCCAATCTCGCGTCTCAAAAATGGCTCTCGTTGCGCCGCTCGGCGCTGCAGCTTCTGAAGTCATCTGACCTCGAGCGGCAAGATCAGATCTGCAAGCGCGCGGCTCCGGCGGGCTCGCTACTAGCTGGGTCGGACCAAGAGCAGTTGGGGCGCCATTCGATACTCGCTCGACGCTCGGAGCAAGCCCGCGGGCGCTGTCCAAGCAGAAGTACCCGGCAAGTGGATGCAGGAGGCGGCAGAAGGTCGCGTCGCGCACAGTTATGCTAACGGCCTGGCCCCTCCGCCCCTGCCTGCGTTTGGCGAGGGAGAAGCCGATCGTTTCGGTTGGTTCCCCCGCTGCCGCAGGCAGGGCAGGAGACCTAGACAAGACGCTGAAGGCGCGGGCCCCTACTTGGGCCATCCCAGCCCGGGGCGGCGAGCAGCCCCACCTTGACTGGCCAGCAGGGGAAGAGCCAGCGCCGATCACGGCGGAGCAGGTTTCAGCGGCCGTTGCCTTTCGCCCCGACCACGGCTCTGGGGTGGGGCTCGCTCTGCCTTGGGCTTCCGCCGCAGCTGCCGCCGCCTCTGGTCGAGGCAGTCGCGGCCCGCGGGCTGGTCCTACGCGGCCAGTGCTCGTAGTTGTCCGGGACATCCCAACGGGGGGCGTTAGCCTCATTTGCCTCATTCCCCTCCTGGGCCAAGGTCTGGAGCAGAACTTGACGCGGGATGTGCCTCGAGCGGGGGCGCTGGGTGTGGGAGCGTTTCTTTTTTGGTCGGGGGAAAACAAACCTACCTCGCTTTTGACCACCCTCGCTTCCAAGAGATACCAAACGATGCCAAATTGCGGCCTGTACTGGTCAGGCTGCTTGACGAGGAGGCGCGTGGTATGGCTTGGTTTTGCCTGGAAGCGAAAGCGGGGGAGGTAATTCACGCTCTGATTTGGGGAATGGGCACCAGCACGGCTTGTGACAAAAGTTCTCGGGCTCACACTGCATTGGCGGCCGACGCGAGGGGGCGGCCAGGGTGGACCACCAGCATGTTGTCACCGACCCTCAAGTTTTACGATCACACTTCGCACCAGGAGTTCCATGCAAGTTTTACGATCACCCTCGCACCTCAAGTTTTACGATCACACCTCGCACCTCACACCCTCAAGTTTTACGATCACCCTCAAGTTTTACGAAGCAGCGAGCCATGCAGGCCCCCAGCTGCCCTGCCCAGGGCTACTGCGCGATGCACAGGGCTCCGCGCACAGTCACGGGCGAGGAGCAGTCGGTTGCGTGACCGTACCAAATGGCGCGGTGGTTGGAGGGTGCCCAGGAGCTTCCGCGCTTGCTCGTTTGCGGCTGCATGCCTGCTTCGAGAGGGCGGCGGCGGCCAGCCCAGTAGTCTAGAGCAAACGCGCCGTCGACGGCATTGCCTCGCATGCAGTAGGTGGCGAGGAAGTGGCGCGCAGAGAGCTCGGCCGAGCTCTCAAGATGCTGACAGCAGGCTTGCAGCAGAAGAGGCTGCCGTTTGCCAGGAACGAGTTAGGCGCCCTCTTGTCCTTCTCCTCGCCCTCGCCCTCGCCCTTGCCAGGAACGAGTTAGGGCGAGTTAGGGCTCGGGGGAGGTGGCGGACGGGAATATCCTTGACTGTGGCCTCACTGAGTCAGTTCGCTGCCATGTCTGTGGGGGCCTCGGTGGAGATGCCGCGAACGGCAGCCGTCGCCGAGTTAGTGCTCGCAACGATCGATTCTCCGCGGCTCCATCGAAGGTCTCCAAAATTCCAGCCCTTCGCGATGCCGGGGCCCCGGCGGGCATCGTTTCTCCGCGCGGGCGTTTCGGCCGAGGCCCTTTGGGGGTCCGACGCCCCGGGCCGCCCCAGTGGCAAACGTCAGCAACGTGGATCTGCGCCCCCGAAAAAAAAGCCGAAGGGCGCCCGCCGAGAGAGGGCCTTTTGCTCGAGCGGGCGCCGACTTGCTCGAGAGGTGGGCGGACAAGAGACCCGCTGGTCCTGGCCGCAGCTGGTGCCCTCAGAACGCATGTTCAGAGCCCCGAATCACCAGGGGTATAACTCAGGTCAGGGCCAGCTCGGGCTCCAGCTCGGGCTCCTTCTCCGGGAGTCCACACCCGACTTACCCCGGGCCCGAGTCACCCCGGATAACTCGGGCGTCCAGAGCCCCGAATCATCAGGGGTAGCTCGGGTCAGGGCTAGCTCGGGTTCCTTCTCCGGGAATCCACACCCGACTTACCCCGGGCCCGAGTTACCCCCGATAACTCGGGCGTCCAGAGCCCCGAATCATCAGGGGTAACTCGGGTCAGGGCTAACTCGGGCTCCTTTTCCGGGAATCCACACCCGACTTACCCCGGACCCGAGTTACCCCGGATAATTCGGGCGCCCAACATGTCAAGATTTTACGCGATGGTCGTCTTCCTCCAACGGTTTCGAGGTTTGTTCAGCCAGGAGGAGGAGGAGGAGATGGAGGAGGAGGAGATGGAGGAGGTGATGGAGGAGGAGATGGAGGAGGAGATGGAGGAGGAGGAGGAGGAGGAGGAGGAGGAGGAGGAGGAGGGATGGTCGTCTTCCTCCAACGGCTTTGAGGTTTGTTTCAGCCATGGGGCGAGACGCGGCGGGGCCGGCGTCGGCCCGCGAGCTCACGGCAAGCGCCCAGCGGCTGCTTTGTGATCGCTCACCATCGGCGGGGCCGGGTTCGAGTTTCCAGGACCCCATCGGGCCTTGCAGGAAGCCGCGGGAGATGCGTGGGGCTTCAACATGGTTGAACACTCATGTCAAGAGCCCAGCGGCTGCTCTGATCACTCACCATCGGCGGGGTCGGGCTCGAGTTTCCAGACCCCTCGGGCCTTGCACCTTAGGCGATGCTTAAGAAAACTTGAATGTTCGGCCAGAGTCTTGATTATTCTTATTGTTCCAATGGAAAACCTAACCTTTTAGTAGAAATTGGGTTTTTTGTTATTCAAATTCTGAGTATGAATTTCTTAACCCACGATTTCTTAAACATTTCGCAGGGTGTGGGGCTTCAACATGGTTTCGCCAGCTTCTGTGGCCTGGCGCGCTCGTTTTGCCGCCAGGCGTCATTCGGACCTCCGCGGCTCGGCGGAGACGGGGCACGGCAGGGGCTGCACTGGGGCATTGTCGGGGGCCCCTCCGCGAGAGACTTCGTTGCGCTGCTCCTGAGGAGGAGGGCGCGGCGGAGGCGAGGTCGCGCAGAGCTCGGGGGGCCTCGGGAGCAGGGGGCTCTGTTGGGGTCTAGTCATGGGCTCGCACTGGTGCTGGCACAGGCTGCACCAGCACGACCCCCAAGCTGACGACCAGCTGCCTGCTCTGCCGCGAAGCTCGCGGCACCTTGTTTCACGGACACTTCGGGTGTCCCGCTAGAGAAGCGCGGAGGCGTGATAACCTGCCTTCTGACATCAAAGCGGCCGCAGCACGCCCCGGGAACTGGTCGATGGACCTGCAAAAGCGGTTCGCTCGGGGCATCTTCCCTGGCCCTTGCCAGCTCCTCGCGACGCGTCCCCACGGCCCTGCGAAGGAATTCAAGGCTGGTGGTGTGGGTGCTGGTCTGGCGGTCGAGGGTGCTCATGTCATTATGTACTTATTCAGGTCACGATGGACGATGGGATGTGGGATTGCCACCTGTGACTGCGAACGGCGTTGGGTTACTGGCCGAGCGTGGCGCGGTGCCGCTGGCCACCTCGCCGGATCAGACCGCCCGCGACGGCGAAGATTCTGCAGTTTTTATCGCCGCTCGTTTCTCAATATGTACTCCAGATTTCGTAATAAAAGGGAGGGGGTCTGGACCCTCCAAGACAAGCCATTTCAGACCTCCCCCGTGGGAGAACCCTCCAAAAAATCGTCCCCAGACCTTCCAGGCCCTCCAAGATAGCCTGGAAGAGACCCCCCCCCCCCGAAATGAGACCCCCCTCCCTTTATTACGAAATCTGGAGTGCCTTCGCATTGTACTCGGACTGCAAATGCGCACCGGTCTGTTGCACCAACTGAGTCTTGGCGGAAAGCCCTAGCAACACCACTTGTTGCGTGAATTGCACCAGGGAAATGGTTTGTCGCAGGTCTCTTCTTGTGAAGTCAAGGCCCACACTGCCATGGTGCATCTGCGAGAAAACAGAAATTCCCTTTGCGAGAGAAAGGGGAGCGAAAAGGCGGGCTGCCTGGCCAAACTAGGGGCGGGACTCACGACCAGCAGGACCTTTCGGTCGCTAGAGGCATGTTTTTCCTACGACGCCAAGTGGTTTCGCTCATCACCCGTGATGAAGTGAACTACTCAGAAGTAGGCAGGCATGACACTGTGGGTGCCCAAGGTCTCACGCTTATTTCTTCGTGGGGAGGCGACCCCCTGGAGGAGGACTTGGAGGAGCGCAGGAGGAGGGAGGTGGCTGATAGGAGGGCTGCTGCTGCCGCGGCTTCCCTCTTGCCCCAGAGGACCCCTCACAGGGCATGCCCCCTCTTCCCCTGGGGCCAGGCCTGGCCAGCCTGGCCCAGGACGCGCGCCAGGCCCCCTGGTCCCAAGGTGGCCATTGGCTCTGGAGGTCCCGATCATTGCTCGCTCCTCGTGTGCGGGGTGCGCTACGGTCTCGGCGGGTTCCAGAAGAATTTGTGCCCTGGGTCCCAAGCGAGTCTCCTGGACCCTGGCCGAAGGCACATTCGCGCCGTCCTACGCAGGAAACGTCCGAATCGAACTTGGAAGCCGGGTCCTTGGAGGGCCCCTGGCGTCAGGGCCCAGGAGGTTTTCCGCTATTCCGATGGAACCCCAGGGGCCCAGCCGAAGGAGCTTAGCAGTGTCAGCTTTTCGCCTGGTGTCTCCAACGTCTGCTCGGCCGGCTGTCTCCTAGGCGTTCGGCCCCGATGAGGAGGAGGCCAAAGTGCACGGAGCCATGCTCAGAGTGAAACGAAGCCAGCCATCAGGCGAGTTTGATGATGAGGATGGTCAAGTTTTGTTTGTTCTAGGGGTGCCCCGTCGCTTGCCCCTGGCAGGTGTGGGCCCCTGCCGGTGTGACATCAAGTTCCTGTCGGAAGGCCCCCCCTGGGAATTTCGGCTGACTGTCGAAACCTCTCTCTCTCTCTCTCCATTCAGTGGCGTGTGATCCTCCTCCGCCTCCTCCTCCTCCTCCCCCTCCTCCCCCCCCTCCCCCCCCTGTCTTTCCTCCTCCTCCTCCTCCTCCTCCTCCTCCTCCTCCTCCTCATTCCTGTTCTTTGGCACCGCGTCGCGCCTGCGGCGAAACGAATCAGGACCTCGCCTTGCGAGGCTCGACCCAGTCGCTTCCGCGCTGCCGAAGTGCCGGGGGCCCTGCGCACGCGTGTAGTGGGAGGACCCGGGCCTCTCGGATGGCGTCGGAGGATCGCGCCGCATCGCCGATGCATCGGCGGCATGCGGCTCGACGTGGAGCCCCGTTTTCTCCACGCCGACGACGCCGGCGCATCGCCGACGTCGCCGATGCATCGCCGATGCATCGGCGGTGCAGCGCAATCCTCCGACACCACCTGCTCGGACCCCACTGAGGAGGCCTCGTGAAGACGTGGAGGAGGAGGGGGAGCAGGAGGAGCGGAGCAGCGTTTTTTTTTGTAGCCTTGCCCTCCGTAGCGGCGGTGGGCCCCTGCCGCGTCCCGCTCTCCCTTGCAGCCCCCACAGGCGGCCTGACCGCGCCTGGGCGCCCTCGTCCCCCCCCTCCTGCACCTCATTGCCCTTCCTGGTGTCCAGGAGGAGGAGGAGGAGGAGGAGGAGGAGGAGGAAGTCGAGGACTTCGAATCGAAAACCACGGGGCCGTAATTCCTTCGACCGCGCCGCGCTGACCCTGGACACCCTGGTATGCCATTCATCCCCGCGACCCTCATGGCCGATGTTCATTCCAAGCACATTCGCCCCTGGCTTTGCTGCTTGTGTTGCGTATTCTTGCGATCTTGCCCCCAATGATCGGTTCCCCTGGTCTTATGATTAATTTCACGATCTATAGTGAGCCGTGGTGTTTTTGTTGTTTGCCTCTAGAATGTATGCCACATGTTGTATTTAGTAGGAAGAAGAAGAAGCGATAGCGTTGGAGCCCAAGCGCTGGTACAGTCGGGGCCCTGAAGAAGGAACCCTTTTGGTTGGGGAGGGGCTCCGCGTTCCTTACGTGTTTCACAGCTTGCCTCAGGCTTTCCTTTTGTTTTCGACCGGATATCGAAGGTTAACTTATAGAAAAAAGGGGCCTCGTTCCTTCGTGGTGGGCTCATATAGCCAAGTTGACATTCTTGCATTGAAAGAGCAGGCACGGCGAAGCTGACATGATAGAACAAGGGCGTCGACAATTCAATTTGTTGCGACACGACGAAAAAACAAAAAAAAGGGGCTCGTTCCTTATTTTGGGTTCCTTAGGTCAGGCCCCCGACTCTATCGTTCTCCCTGGGCAACAAGCAAAAAAACGCCTGGCCTCTCGCAGCACCGGCGAGTCCGCCGCCGGCTGGGCCCGTGGGCTGCGGCTGCTGGGCCACGCCCTGCTGGTGCCGGCGCACGACGAGGCTCAGGTCCTGAGCACGAGCAGCAGTGCGATGGCAGCTTGCACCAGGACGGCACTGCCTTTCTACGAGGAGGAGGAGGAGAAGGAGGAGGCGGAGGAGGAGGCGGAGGAGGAGGAGGAAGTGGAGGGAGAGGAGGGGGAGGGGGCGAAAGAGGAGGAAGAGGAGGAGGAGGGGGAGAAGGGAAGGGAAGGAGGAAGAGGAGGAGGAGGAGGAGGAGAAGGAGGAGGCGGAGGAGGAGGAGGAGGAGGTGCGCCATGTCTGCCCTCTACAACCTCGTCGAACACCGATGCACAATTGCGGAGTAGCCATCATGATGTCCGATGGGCCTGCACACCGCAGTCCGTATGGCAGCAAACCCCCCGCCCCTTGTCAAAATCACCAGTGCAGAGCGATCGCGGGGTGCCCGCGCATGATTCAGATTCTTGGGCTTACGCCGCACCGCCGACCCCTTGGGGGTGTAGTAGATGCCTGCCAGTGGGGGCCTCGTGGGGGCCTTTTGGGGGGTCTGGTGGGCCTCCTGGGGCCTCTTGCGCATGGGGCCCATCTGGGGCGCCGGAGGAGGAGGAGGAGGAGGAGGAGGAGGAGGAGGAGGAGGAGGAGGAGTTGGCGCGATCTTTCGGCGACTCGTGCCCCTCTTGGACCTTCCGGGGGTCCTCTTGGGCCCTCTTGGCCCGTTTTGGGGCCCCTTGTCCCCCATGGTGCGTTCGGGCGGTCCCTGGGGGACCCCCACCCCACCCCCTCCAAATTGACCGGACCGGGGTCCTGGGGGAGGGGTTTGGGGAGGGGGCAGCATCTCACACGCTGGCGGATTTATTTAGCTGCGATGTGCAGTTTATTCAATCAGTGCTTGCACTGAAGGGGTCCTAGCGGATCTTGAAGGATTTGGCGAAAGTTGGCGGCCGATTTCGGTAGGCGGCCGGGTTCCCTGGTTCCCGGTCCCGGGTTCCCGGGTTCCCGGTTCATCCTTAATTTTCAAACCATCCACTGATTGTTTTTTCTCTGATGTAATGTTGTTTTTCGAGCGGGACTGTGGCCCAGCAGGCCATATGCTGGCATCTCCGCCATCCCTGCCAAACAAAAACATGTAGAGTGATCGAGGCCACTCCCAAGATAGCCCACGATTTTGCCGCAGACTGCACGTTGCATCATCATTTGTTGACAGGGAGGGCGGGGGTGGGCGCAGTGGCCCGGGTCTGTCGCCAGTCGGGTTAGGTGAGGGGGTGTGCATCATGAAGGAGCCGCGATGAAGCGACCCCCCGAAGGACGACCGTCTCGCTCAATCCCGACCGCCCTCCCGCCGCGCAAGCAGCACCCTCCCCTCCTCTCCTCTCCGCACCCTGCCGCTCCCTTCAGCACTCTTTCCTCCGCGCCGCCCTTCACGAGCGGCGCGCCTCGCGAGCGCCACGCGCCTGGCATCCTGTGTCGGCTCCCACTGTGGCAGCCCTTCCGAGGACGCGGCTCTTGCCACAGTGGGAGCCGACACAGGATGCCAGGCGCGTGGCGCTCGCGAGGCGCGCCGCTCGTGAGGGGCGGCGCGGAGGAAAGAGTGCCGAGGGGAGCGGCAGGGTGCGGAGAGGAGGGGAGGGGAGGGAGCGGGGCGAAGGCGGGAGGGAAGGGCCCCCCCGAGCAGCGGCGCCTCTTCTGCCTGGCGGCCTTCGCCAGTGGACAGACGGGGCCCACCGTGAGGCGGGACCCCTGCCTCTTGTTCCTTCCCCGCCCTTCCTCCCTGTCCTTGCCTCCCTCCCTGCCCACCCGCCCACCCCCCTTGCCCGCCCATCCACACCAGTCCAACTTACAACCGAGTTGTGTAACTCTTCCCTGCCTTCCACCTCTCTTCTCTCTACCCCCCCCTCCTCCCGTCTTTAACCCCCCCTCCGCTCCCCCCTCCCCAAGCCGGATGCCTCCTCCGTCAATGCCACAGCCCCTCGTGTTCGCTCCCGTGCCCGTCGCCGACCTTCCTCCCCTTTTCCCGCCCTGCCCTCCGGTCTCCCCGCCCTTCATCGCCCTTCGATGGCCCCGCTCTCCCAGCGGCCTGGAGAGCGTGCCCGCCTGTGGGGGAAGGCGTGGGACAGTGCACGTGAGCAGACGCCACTCCTCTGCAGTCGCCTCGATCACACCTCCATTCGAACGAGGAAAGGAAAGGAGGAGGAGGAGGAGGAGGAGGAGGGGGAGGAGGAGGAGGAGGGGGAGGAGGAGGGAGGAGGAGGATGAAGGAGGAGGAGGAGGAGGGGAAGGGGACGAGGAGGAGGAGGGGGGGGGGGGGGGGGGGGGGGAGGGGGAGGGCGGCCGGCGGGCAGACCAGGGGGAGGGGGGGAGAGTTTCCGAAGCGGCCCCGGAGGGACGGCGCCTGGCCCATGGCGATGCAGGTGCTGCGGGCGATGCAGGCGAGAAGCTTGGAGGCGACCGGCCATCACGGGGGGGAGCGGAGGGGGGGGAGGAGGAGACGAGAGGGGAGCTCCTCCTCCTCCTCCTCCCTCCCCTCCTCGTCCTCCTCCTCCTCCTCCTCCTCCTTCTCCTCCTCCTGCTGCTCCTCCTCCTCCCCCTCCTCCTCCTACTTCTCCTCTTGTCACCTTGTCTCCTCCTCCTCCTCCTCCTCCTCCTCCTCCTCCTCCTCCTCCTGGAGACGAGGGGGGGAGGGGGGGAGCGAGTGGTGGGGGGGGGGGGGCGAACGGAGGGGAGTGAAGGAGTGGGGGGAGGAGAAGGGCGGAGGGGGAGGGATCGAGGCATCCGAGGGTTCGGATAGTTCTGGCCCGGCCCTTCTCCTGTGCTTTTGGGGGGCCTGGATTGGTCTGCCCCAGATCGGGCAATTTTTCCAGCCGTTTTCGAAATGACGGGTTCAGGAACACGAAGGCTACACAAACAACGTAAGTCTACCCGAACGTGACGAAAGCATAGCTCCAGGATTGATGAAAGCAGAACCAGAGCTGGAGAACCAACTGCGACGGACAAAACGGCCTTGCCGTTTCCAGTACCCGCCCCGGAGGCCTCCAGAGGGGCAGGGGAGGGACGGGAGGGGAGGTGGAGTCGGATGGGGCAATGCTGGAGACGGGGGGGGCGGGGGGCGAGGAAGGAAGGAAGGGGGAGGAAGACGGCGAGGATGGAGGAGGGGGAGAGGAAGCCCCGTGCAGGCTGCAAGTCAGGGCCGTGGGGCCACTCGTTGCCCCCAACAGGGAGGACGGGGGGCGAGGCCGGGGGGAGGAGGGGAGGGGAGCGAGGCCGGGGGGCCTGGAGCAACGGGGGTTGGGGGTTAGGACCACCCTTTCTGAACATCGCCACCCGCTCCCCCCCACTTCCTGACCACATCGTCCCTTCCCTTCTCCACTGCTCGCGATGGGAGAGGAGTGGGCCAGTGGGCCGCGCCAAGGTATGGAGCTGGGCGCAGCCTCACGAGGACGACGAGGGGCCGGCATCCCTGCAAGCGATGGGCCGAACGCTCAAGTGACCGGGTCCTGAGGGTTTCGGGAGAATGTGTTGCCCCAGGCGGGCCGTTGTGCCAGCATCTTTGAACACCTCTCTTCGTCCTCCTCGTCCACCGCCGTGGGGATGAAAGTGAAGCCCTGCTCCGCGCACAGCCGCGCGGTGTCCCGGTGCTGCCTCTTGAACTCCTAGACATTTCAACATCTGGCCTAGACGTTCCGAGTCTTGCGTCAGAGCTTAAAGCGGGCTCTATATGTGTTCTTGCACGGTTTGAGCTGAACTATTTGAGCGTAGTGGTGTCCCCGCGTGTTTGTACCATTTGCTCAGGGTCCAAGGGTTTGAACATCGGTTATTACATCTCTCACTCTGCTCTTCTCTCCCTGTCTCTCCATGGCTTGTATTCGGCCCGCATCCTCACCATCCTGGGAGGAATGAGAGTCGCTTTCTGTTGACTGTAACCTCTGGCCCAGACGTTTCGTGGTTTTCGTCAGTAGTGTCCCTGCATTGTGAAAGGGTGGGCTCAAACCAACACAGCTGCAAGTTGTAAGTTTGCTCGTTTTTGGGCACCCTTCAGCATCCGATTTGTTTGGGGGAATCATGGGACATCCACGCCGCGAATCAACGTGCATGTTGCGCCGTGACAATCCTGAGTCGCGCCAGACCTCGTTCCTGGATGTCATTGCCACGAACCCACTGGATTGACGCGTCCCGACCATCGTACATCGCGCCGAAAAGTTATTTCATTCAAGGGGCTTCAACCATACGGACCCTTCAAGCAAGCTCAAACTTTCAAGACGAATGCGCGCGGCGCCAAGAGCCTGTTTCTCTATTGTTTGGGCCATTGCGTGCGTTATGGCCCTCCCGCCCCCCCCCCATAACGTTCCGTTCCGGCTTCCAGTGCGCCCCCGGCACTGCCGCCGTGCGCACAGGGATCCGCATAGGAACCCCAGTAGGGATCCGATCCGCACAGAAATCCGCATAGGGATCCGCAGAAAGATCCGCATTGGGATTCCCAGGGATCATTACAGAGGTCCGCATAGCGATCTGCATACGGATCCGCATAGGGGTCCACGACGACGAACAACGACGACGACAACGACGACGACGAGGATGGAGGGGTGAGGTAAGGAGCATACCTCGTATACGCAACGTGGGGGCAACGACGCCTTCGCAGGCACGTGCTCGCCACAACTTTGCGTCGCTCGTCGTTCTCGGTCGTCGTCGTCGTCGTCGTCGTCGTCGCCGTCGTCGTCGTGGTGTGTCGTCGTCGTCGTCGCTCATCGTCGTCGTCAACGTCGTCGTCTCCTCGTCGCTCGTCGTTGCTCGTCTTCGCTCGTCGTCGTCGTCGTCGTTCCTCGTCGTCGGTCGTCGTCGCACGTCGTCGTCGCACGTCGTCGTCGTCGTCGTCGTTGTCGTTGTCGTCGGTCGTCATAGCTCGCGGTCGCGCGTCGTTGTCAAACCCCTTCGGATGCTCTCGAGGGCCCCTGGAGGCCTTCGGATAACCCCCGGACGACCTCTCGAGCTTTCCAGTGGCTTCAGGAGGCCTCCGGATGCTTCGGGAAACCTCCAGAAACCTCCGGAGGCGCCGCTCGTCGTCGCCGCCGTCGTCGTCGTCGTCGTCGTCGTCGCCGTGGTCGCTCGTCGTCGTCGTCGTTGTCGTCGTCGTCGTGGTCGCTCGTCGTCGTCGTCGTCGTCGTCGTCTCCGTCGTTGACGTCGTCGTCGTCGTCGTCGTCGTCGTCGTCGTCGTCGGCGCCGTGGTCGCTCGTCGTCGTCGTCGTGCGCGCGGGCGCTGTGGTGGCGTCAGAACCGTGGGGGGGGGCGTTACGATATCGCCGCCTCCCGTCCCCTCCCATAGTGCCCGTTGTCTTCGAACACATCGCCAAACGCGCTCCAGGGCGAGAGCCATATTCTGGAAAGGAGCTGGCCTCCGCCCTTGAGCTTGCTGAGTAGCTTGTCTTGGCATCGCTCGGACGTGTGCATTTTTCCTTCGGCGAGGGCCATCGAGGAGCATCCTTGATCATGTGGCGAAAAACCCACGCACGAAACCGAAAAAAAAACACAGGGAATGGACGTCCGAGCGATGGCGAGTTGTCGAGGGCGCGCGGCACGAAGGCGGGAGCTCCGTCTTGAAAAACGGCGAAGGTTTTTGAGGCGGGGGTGCGCGCGGCGCTGGGGCGCGAGAGCTTTCGTCTTGAGAACGTCCCGCCCTCCGCTTGCGCGGCGCCCACCTCTCTCAGGAGGGGAAGAAAGACACAGACACAATTCATCGTCGACTCCCCCGAAAATGTGGGAAAATATGGGAAGTGGTGGGGAAGACAAAACCCCCGAAACTATGGAAGAATATGGGGAATCTTTTTATTTGTGTGTATTTATTGGAGAGGCCTGACGGCCGGTGCCGCCGACCCTGATCGAAAGGGCTAGGAGTGGGGGGAGGAAGCGGAGGAGGAGGAGGAGGAGGAGGAGGAAGAGGAGGAGGAGGAGGAGGAGGAGGAGGAGGTGCATCCTTTGTGTGCCCGCTCGAAGAAAATGCGCCCCGGGAGTGTGATATTCTGATTTGGGACGTGCTCCCGGAAGAGGAAGAAGTGCATCTCGGGCGTGCCCGCTCGAGGAACATGCGCCCAAGGGGGGAGGTATTTTGACTCGGGGCCCGCTTCCGGGACGCCTCTGCGGGAGTAGGGGGAGGAGGAGGAGGAGGAGGAGGAGGAGGAGGAGGAGGAGGAGGAGGAGGAGGAGGAGGAGGATAAAGGAGGAGGATAGGAGCAGGAGGAGGAGGAGGAGGAGGAGGGAGGAGGAAGGAGGAGGAGGAAAGGAGGAGGAGGAGGAGGAGGAGGAGGAGGAGGAGGAGGACCAGGAGAGGAGGAAGAAGGAGGAAGGGCATTTTGTGCGTGCCCGCTCTAGGAAAGAGTCCCCCGCGGGCGTCGTATCTGCCCCGGGCCCCCCCCCCCCTCCCCTCCCCCCCCCTCCCCCCCCCCCCCTCTGCGGGAAAGGGATCAAGGGAAGGGGCTTCCCTTCACTCCACTACGAGGTCGTTTAAATTTCGCTTTGGATAGTGGCGCTTGGGGAGGAGAACCCTGGGAGGGGGAGAAGCGACAGACGACGAGACGCCGAGTTGGCCCCCTAGCCCTGTCACACACCGCCGATCCATCGGCGGATTTGTGTGTCCCAGGGCCCCTTCATTCTCAAGCCCGGGATCACACGTGGGGAGGGAGTCCGTGGCGAAACGCCTGGCTCGGCCTGCGGAAACGTTTGGGGGTTGCGACAGGGAGGGGTCATTTTATCAGGGCAGGGGACTTAGGGGCAGAAGGGGCAGGAGAAGAAGGAGGATGGGGAGGAGGAGGGGGAGGGGGAGGGGGAGGAGGGGGAGGAGGAGGAGGAGGAGGAGGAAGAGGAGGAGGAGGAGGAGAGGGAGCAGGAGGAGGAGCATGAGGGGGAGGAGGAGGAGGAAGAGATGAGAGGAGAGGGAGCAGGAGGAGGAGCAGGAGGAGGAGGAGGAGGAGGAGGAGGAGGAAGAGGATAACCGTGTTCGGTGGTCTGCCTCCTCCCCGCGAGGCTGGCGCGGCGCATTATACCCTCGCGCTCGAGGCAGGAATGGCGGCATTGGCGATTGGGGGACGGTGCCGATCTGAATGATCCACATGGACTTGAGGGTGATTGTGTTCATGCTTTTCCTGCTTCTGCCCAAGTGTGGGGCCTGCGACCAAAACCACAAGGAGGTCACGGACGGCTGCTTGGCCCGGAAGGGCGACCCGCCCGAGGGCCTGGAACGGCCTCGGCTCATGGCCGCGGCGCGCCGCCAGGGGCCCGAGGTGGGGCAGGGCCGCCCAGTCGAGGTGATCCACCAGAGCGACGTCAAGTGCAAGGCTTGGGCCCAGCGGCGGCGGATGCGGGGCCACGCGCTGCCGGATGGGCAGGAGCGCGCCGGAGGTGTGCCGCCGCACGAGGCGGTCGCTCATCATGAGGCGGCGGGGCGAGCGGCTCCTCCCCCCGGCCGCCGCGGCACCCCGGCTCGGCCCCTCATCCTCGCTCCTCGCTCCTCCTCCTCCGCGCTTCCCGCTTCCCGCTTCCCGCTTCCCGCTCCTCCTCCTCCTCCTCCTCCTCCTCCTCCTCCTCCTCCTCCTCGTCCTCCTCCTCCTCGGCGCCCTGCTCGCAGGCGCCCTCCCCCAGGCGGGGGCCGCGCGCCGGGGCGTGCCGGGGCGGTAGGCGCGGGCGCGCGACGGGGCAGCCGCGGCGGCGGCGGGCCCACGCGTGGAAAGGTCGGGCGAGCGAGGAGGGGGCCCCCTCTCTGCCGGGGGCGGTGCCGCTCGCCAGGGGCGGGGCAACGGGGGGGAGAGAGGATGCGGCGGGGGAGGGGGGAGGCGGGGCGGGGAGGGAGCGGGGGGGAGGGGAAGGAATGGGATCCGGAGAAGGAGGAGGAGGAGGAGGGGGAGGGGGAGGAGGAGGAGCAAGGAGGAGGAGGAGGAGGAGGAGGAAGGATGGAGGAGAGGAAGGGAGAAGAAGAAGAGGAGGTGAAAGAGGGAGTTGGAAACGGGGGGGAGGGGGAGGGAAAAAGCCCCCAGGAGGAGGAGGAGGACGAGGAGGAGGAGGAGGAGGAGGAGGCAGGGAGGAGGAAGAAGAGGAGGTGAAGGAGGAGGAGGAGGAGGAGGAGGGCCGATTCCCATTCCCCGCAAATGCTTTCCTGATTCCTCTGCTACTCACTCTCCCCCGCTCTCTCCCTCCCCCAGCCCTTTCCCATTCCCGCCAGTGTGAAACGGGGAGTGCGAAGTGCAGGTTGGAGTATTGAACCCGTCGGCTCAGCAGAGCCGGGGCCTCCCATGGAAACAGGGGGCCAGGGGAAGGAGGGAGGATCATCAGGGGGGGAGAGGAATCTGGGAGGGGGAGAAGTATTCGGAGGGTGATTGATGCTGACGCTGATGCTGATGCTGGTGCTGGTGCTGGTGCTGGTGCTGATGAGGATGAGGATGAGGATGAGGATAAGGATGAGGATGTGGATGTGGATGCTGGTGCTGGTGCTGATGAGGATGAGGATGAGGATGAGGATAAGGATGAGGATGTGGATGTGGATGAGGATGAGGATGCTGATGCTGATGATGATGACGATGACGATGATGATGATGCTGCTGATGATGATGCTGATGATGATGATGGTGATGATGATGATGGTGATGGTGATGGTGATGGTGATGGTGATGATGATGATGATGATGATGCTGATGATGATGATGATGATGATGATGATGATGATGATGATGATGATGCTGGTGATGAGTAGTAGTATTCTTATTGTTAAGATTATGATAATTGTGTTGCTCTGCCCAAACGGGTAAAACGTGACGCCGAACAGGGCGCGGGCGAGCATGCCCTGGCAAATTTTCAGGAGGGAAAGAAACACACAGACACAATTAATCGTCGATTCCCCCGAACATATGGGAAAATATGGGAAGTGGGGGGAAGACGAAAACCCAGAAAATATGAGAAAATATGGGGAATCCATTTATTTGTGTGTATTTATTTGTGTGTCCCAGGGCCCCTTCAAATGTGCCACACATCATAACTTCCCTCAGCAGGGCAACGGGCACACGTGTACAAAGAGGAAGCAGGCACAAGCTGAATCCGTCCTCCGGCCTCCTCCTATTGGCTACTCCAGATCTCGTAATAAAAGGGAGGGGGTCTGGACCCTCCAAGACAAGCCATTTCAGACCTCCCCCGTGGGAGAACCCTCCAAAACATCGTCCCCAGACCCCCCAGGCCCTCCAAGATAGCCTGGAAGAGACCCCCCCCGAAATGAGACCCCCCTCCCTTTATTACGAAATCTGGAGTAGCTCCCCATAGCGCCGGAAACGCCGTGCCTTTGGGGGGAAACCAAACAATAGGACGCAACGGGCAGGGCCCGAACATTGGAACAGCGACCGCAACCCCACAGGGTGAGGTCGCCCCCTGGTCACTTCCCCCCCCAGCCAACAGGCGGGGCGGGAGGAGGCCCCACCAGGGGCGGGGTTGGTCCAGTGCTGCAACGATGTTGCAATGAACCTCCCTCCAATTGTCCTCATCATAGGGTTCTATCAGAATGTGATTTCATTACGGGGAACGGACCAGTATAACAGTCGCAGACATGTCTGAGAATTTCCAACCGTACTAAAAACACAGGTCTTGGATCCCACCTCCGCGAATCAACGCGACACTTGCGCCCTGTTAACCCTGAACCGTGCCAACACAGAGCTATCACAATTGCGAGTCAGCGTGACCCTTGCGCCTGGACAGTCCGACACCGTACCAGAACACGAATGGTGAGACGTCGTGCTCACGAATCCGAACAGGCGTTGTGAGTTTTGAGGAGGAATGCGCGCGGCGCTGCGGCGAGATACACCTACTGAAACAACTTGGAATTGTTGCAAACACATCGACGGCGGCACTCAATAGTTGGAATTGTTGCTAACTTGAAAGACGGATGTGCGCGGCGCTGAAGCGAGATCTACCGTTTGAAAACCAGGTGCCCTCAATCTCTGAAAGCCTTGTTTTTCTTACGACGAACGTGCGCGGCTGTAAGGCGAGAGCCACATGGTGCAAACCCCCCGCCCTCCATCCGTGAAATTGCTGCGATGTGTGTTGACGAATGCGTGCGGCGTTGAAGCGAGAGCCACATGTTAAAAGCCACCGTCGTCGTCGTCTTCGTCGTCGTCGGCGTCGGCGTCGTTGTCGTCGTCGAAGTCGTCGGAGACGTCGTCGGTGTCGTCCTAGTCGTTGTCGTCGGTGTCGTCGTAGCCACTCTTAACAGGTTTTGCCAACCAAGTTGCGGGCGGGTGGGTGGGATGTTTGCGCGAGCAGTGGAGATGACGACTTCAAGTTCAGCAGAGTGGAAAGCCACCTCACCTCTGCCCGTGAAAGTGTTACCACATTCACTCTTCAGGGCCAGCGCGGGTGAGGACCGGCGAGGCGCCCAGCCCGCCCCGCCGGCACGCCTGGGGGTGTGCAGCAGTGCAGCACGGAGGAGTGATGCATAAGGATCACGGGTGGGGCAGGAGGAGGAGGCGAAGAGTGGGAAGCCGCCCGGGGGGGGGTGAAGTTTGGGGGGGGGAGTTGGGGGGGGGGATGGGAGTGCAAGGGGGGATGGGGAGAGAGTGGAGAGTAGGGGAGAGTAAGGGGGGAAGGGGAGGAGAGGAGAGGAGGAGGAGGAGGCGAGGAGGAGGAGGACACACCAAACAACAAAACAAGAGCCTCCTCCTCTCCTCCTCCTCTCTCCTCCTCCACCAACTTCTCCTGTCCATCCCTCCTCAACCTCCCGTCAATGTCTGCACTTCCAGCCGCAGCGGAGCACGACAGCAGCACGGGCACTGCGCGCCCCCTGCGATGGTGTAGAGGAGCGTGGTCACTCATGGCTTCTCTGGCCTCCAGAGCAACCAGAAGGGTTGCTTGCGATGTTCGTGTGCCGTCCTCCCCTCCTCCTCCCTCCCTCGGTCCTCGTCCTCCACCTCCTACGTCCGCCTCCCTCTCCTCCTCCTCCTCCTCCTCACTCCTCCTCCTCATCCTCCCTCCTCCTCCTCTCCTCCTCGTCCGTCCGTCCTCCTCCTCCTCCTCCTCCTCCTCCTCCCTCTTCTCGCTCCTCCTCCACCTCCTCTTCTCCTCCTCTTGCCTCCTCCTCCTTCTCACTCTCCTCATCCTCCCGCCCCTCCTCTTTCCTCCTCCTCCTCCTCTCCTCCTCTCCCTACCTCTCCCTCCGCTCCTCCTCCTCCTCGCCTCCTCCCTCCTCCCTCCTCCTCTCCTCCTCTCCTCTTCTCTTCTCCTCCTCATCTCCTCCTCCTCTCCTTCCTCCTCGCCTCCCTCTCCTCTTCTCCTCTCCTCCTCCTCCCCTCCTCCTCCTCCTCCTCCTCCTCCTCCTCTCCTCCTCCTCCCTCTCCCTTTCCCTCCTCTTCCTGATCCTCCTCCTCTCCTGCTGCTTCCCTCCTCCTCTCTCCTCTCCTGTTTCCTTGTTCCTCCTCTTCCTCCTCCTCCTCCTCTTCCTCCTCCTCCTCCTCCTCCTCTCCTCGCCGTCAGGCCAGGCATGGAGTGCCTGGGCTCCGGTGACCACCCGCAAGATTGGCGAAGGCGGGTGGGGCCCCCGCCCGGTGGTAGGGGCAGCCCCTGCCCAAAAGTGGCAGGGGCGACCGCCCGGGGGCGTTCCTTCTCCAGGTGGCTGCTAGCCGCGTGGGCCCCTCGGCGGTCAGAGGACTCCACCCCCTCGCCGTCGGTGGGGCGCGGCTGGCGGCTTTCTCTTCCCTGGGTATCCACCCCTCCTCGTCGCCACGTCTTGTTGCCCACCCGTTCCTCCCGCGGTCGCGTGGGCAACCCGCCCAGGCGTGCGTGGGGGTCGGCGGGTCGCTTGCGGGCGGCTCGTCGGGGCACCTCCACCCGGCCTCCCCACGGCCGTGGCTCCCCGCCCGGCACGCGTGGGGATGGGGCGGTCTGTCGTGGGAGCGGTGCCCCACGGAGGCGTCTCGGGGCGGCACGGCCTGGCGTGGAGCATTGTTACGGTTGGGCGCAGTGCGAAAATGCCGCGAGGCAGGTCGTGCGTGCGTTGCTTGCTTTTCGGCCCCGAACCGAACGGTTCTACTGGCCGTCTTTAGGGCGGGTTTTAGTTGAGTGAGTTGAGTGTTGTGTGCTTTGATACTGATGACGATGGTGATGATGGTGATTATCCTATCGTAGTGCTGATGGTGATGGCGATGGTGATTGTGAAGATGATGGTGGGGATCATCACATACACAATCACCATCATCACCATCACCAGTCTAGGTGCACCGCTAGCGCCTGCGTTTTCTCACCTCCAGTGCTCTGTCTGCCCTCGAAGTGCCTTGCTCGACGGCCGCCTTGCCTCTCGGGGCTTGGGCCCATGTCAGCATGAGGAGTCACGTAGAGCAGCGCCGCGATAAAAAATCCTCTTCCTCTCCTCGCCTCCCCTCCTCTCCTCCTCTCCTCCTCTCTTCCTCGTTCCCCTCCCATGCTGTCTGTCCTCGCTGTCGTTCTCGGTGGGGCGCGAGAGTCTTTTGTCGCAGAGTGGCCGGAGGCCCTGCTCGCCGAAGGCCGCCCGACGAAGGCGCTCGCTTTGCCACTCGGCCTGGG